TTCTGTGTGGAAGGATTTTCACTGGAAGGATGTAAAAAGAGCAGTAATTAGAAGGTTTAAGAGAACAGAATGAAAGGTGAGTGCATTCCAGATGTGTTTGCTCCACAGAGGCTCCCAGGGGCAGAACTCTCAGTTCAGATCTCTGGGTGGTGGCTGCAATTCCCAGCACAGCCAAACCTCTGCTTCTGAATCAAACATTTGGGGTTGGGTCGTCAGAAAATCAGCTCCTACCTCACAAGCAGGTGTTCCCTGGGCAGGTCCCTCAGTCCTCAGAAACTGCTTATCTGCAAGACACAAAGCAGAAGGAGTTGGGTGATTACAGAGCCCTGGGATGGCAAAGCAGAGATGCTGGGACATGAGTGGTGTTACTCAGAATTAACTAAGGCTTGGCAGATTTGGCTGCAGTCCCCATAAATGATGCAGGCAGATTTTTTTGGTGCTGCCTCCTCAACAGGAAGAAGATCTCAGTGGGATCAGGACTAAGGGAGGGGATCCTGCCCCTCCACTCAGCCCTGCTGGGGCCCAGCTGAGATCTCGTGTCCATTGTGGGCTCCTCAGCAGCAGGAGCTGCAGGAGAGGCTCCAGCAGAGGCCCCAGAGATGCTCAGGGCTCTGCAGCATCTCTGAGGAGCAGGGACTGCAGGAGCTGGGCCTGCTCAGTGTGGGGCAGGGAGGCACAGAGGGGATCCCATCAGTGCACACCCATCTCTCCAGGTGGGTGCCAGGAGAGGTGCCAGGCTCTGCTCAGTGACAGGACGAGGAACAGAGAGCACAAACCCAACCACAACAAATTGCAGCTCAGCAGGAGGAAGGAAAAGCCTCTTTCCATGGAGGGGCAGAGCCCTGGAGTGTCCCTGTCTGGACACATCCCTGTGTCACCTGCTCCAGGTGACCCTGCCTGGGTCATCTCCACACCCTCCATCCTGTGACTGCTATTTCCACTTGCTCAAGCTGTTTAGGATATTCCATGAAAACTGTGAGTGACTTTTCCCTCTTTACACACCTTAATAGGTTTCCCCAAACACAGCATTAAAGCTGAATTAATCCAGGCTGATCAGGACATCCCTGCCCTAAGCAGCATTTCAGGTGCTCAATGAAAGGCTTAAGAGCTCACAGGGCCCTGTCACACCTGCCCAGCCCCTGTGACAGTCACATGCACGTCATGAGCCCACCTTTAGCTCTTCCACTTGTTTCCCCTACTTTTGCCACGATTCCAGTCCAGCTCCCAAGCAGATTTACCAGGGAGCCATCTCCTCACCTGGGTGTCGTGTTCCAAGTTTTTCTACCCAATATTTTACATTCTGTTGATAATGTTCCTTAACTGTAAAGCAAATACAGCTGTTAAAAAAAAAAGATTATATCCCAGTAATTACTCCTTACAGTCCCCTTGCAGAAGGGAACACAAACTGATCCACAGACTTCAAGTATTTCAATTCACATGGAGAAATAAATGTCCAACTTGTTCTCCAGCACTGCAAGTCATCAAGCCAGTCCCACAGGAAAAGATCATCTCAGTACCTGCTCAGCAGTCAGACAAACACTAAGCCATGTTCCTCTCCCCACAGATGGACATTTGTGCTTCACAGAAGTAAAATTCCAGAGCTTTTGGCTAAATGAGGAAACAGCCCAGAGCAAAGTGTCATTTTAGCTTCAGTAAAGCAGTGAAGCACTCAGGAGTGAGAAAAGCCTTCCAGAAGAGTCCTGCTCCCTTCAGAAGGGCTTTAATTCCACATTAATTAAGGAATGGGGGAATCTCTGGTGCAGAATTCAGCTGCACAAGCTCTGCCTTGTGTGGTAACACTGGTGCTCCCCTTCCCCACAGAGGGACTCTGCTGGGACAGCACCAACCCACACCTCCCTTCTCCACATCCTCCCCTGCAGCTGGGGCACCCTGGGAGCAACTGGGACATCCCTGGGATCAACTGGGACATCCCTGGGATCAACTGGGACATCAGGGTCCTCCTCTCCAGCTCCTTCCCTGGAGAACACCCAGAGCACTTCCCAAGGCAGCACAGCCCCACTGCTGCTCCCTTGGCATCCATCCTGCAGTTCTTGCTGTGATCCACTCTCACACAGGAGATTCCAATCTCTTTGCACAGAAACCACGAAAACTTTACCTTATTTGTTAAGAAAAACAACCCAGGGACCTCTCTTTTCAGGCAGAATTGAGGAAAATGAGAAGCAGGAGCTCCTTTTTTAGAGCTGCTCCAGCTCAAATGGGGCTGGGTCAGGCTGTGAGATAAAATCCACCACAGGTTCTTGGTCTGGGCAAACCAACTTTTTTTTGTTTTTTGGTAAAGCTGCACCTCTGGATGCTCTCTAAGTAACCCCTGAAGGGCAGAATTCCTGTAGTGTGGGGGTCTTAACTGCCCCCATTGTAAATTGATGTTCTTTAAGTTAGGGAGGCAGTGACAAGCAGAAATGTTAAATATCTGTGTTTCTGACCCCAAAGCACTGAAATTGAAGGTGTGGCTGCAAAGATTTCTTATGTGTTGAGTCCTAAAATAATCTGCATCCCCTCACATGATAAATTGAGGAAGACTCTGCTCCAGAATTTTGCTGAACAGCAGGAGAAAACTCTCACATCCAGCAAACCCCAACTCATGTGGCCCACGATTAAAGGCTGTTCTCCAGTTTGGACAAATCCTTCTGAGACCTGTTTTAATGACCACAGATACCATCCATGCACTGTTTTCCCACAGCTGACGTGGAAAGGCAAAGCAGGGATCTCATGAATGCCACTCCCCCCCGGATCCTGGCTGCAGTGTCAGAGAACAGGCACTGCCTGGCATGCAGGCTGCTCATGCTTGCTGTCCCTGTGAGATTCCAGTTCCACAATCCTGCACCAGTAGTTCTTGTTCCTCAGCTCCTCATCCTGTCTGTACAGAACATTCCAAGGGCTTCTCCAACTTCAGAGATTGCCCTCCCAGAAAAAGTGAATCCCCTGCATCCATTAACACACTGAGTACCTCCAACCAGCCAGCTCTCACCCAACACAGCCCTTCTCGAAGACAAGGGTTATTCTGAGGAGTTCCAAAACCATAGCCATATTTCAGGGCAAACATCAACTATTCCCTTCAGATTTTTGTCATTTTGAAGGTTCTTACTACTTCTAGCAGCACCAACTCATCTCTACCAGTTTCCAGTGACAGCCCTTTGGAGGATGAGCTGCCAGCTCTGCTTGGTCCTGGAGAGAAGCATCGAGTTCATCTTGGTAAGCCACCCAAAAACGATGTGGAACAGCCCCTCCCACATCCACCTCACAAAATCATCATCCCTGGCCAGTTCCAGGGATGCAGGACTTTGTGTGTGTGTGTGCAGTGATTGTCTCTGCTCATGATGCCAGAGACCAGGAGCACAGCAATGCTCTGGATTATCCCTGATTCCAGCCAGGAGGAATGCACTTCAGTGCCACTGAGTCTGTAACAGAAAGAAAGAATGTGCCATTGGCCATATCAGAAACCTTATCAGCTCCCTCAGACTCCCTGAACAAGCAGCACTCGCTGTGTCCCCATCCCAAATTCAGGAGTGTTGCAGGTGAAATCCCCTCAACCTTGGAGTTTCCTGTTCTCTCACCCTTCAGGCTTGGTTTCCAAAGCTCTGCATAAACAGCTCCCTTTAAATAGCTCTTGTCTCCAGCACTCACAGGGCACGAAGATGACTCGATGGAAGCCAGGAGGGGCGTTACCCAGCCCAGCTCCAACATTCCACATGCAAAGCAGCCCCAGGGTGTCGATGCAGCTCCAAAGGCACAGGATGGTGATCCCTGAGCTAAATATACACAGTGGCCATGAAATCCAGATTGGGCAGCTCAGATTTCCACCCCTGGCTCTTCCCAGAGCAATAACTACAACAACCTGACAAGGAATCACAGAACCACACAATGGTTTGGGGTGGAAGGGACCTTAAAGTTCTCATTTCCATCCCTGCCATGGGCAGGGACACTTCCCCTGAGAGGGAAAATTGCCTTTATGGCCACAACCCCCTGTGTTGACTCCTTGCCTCTTCCTGAACTCACCAAGACCCTAAATCAAGAGTTTATTCACAAATATGTGATGGACTTTTTACCTTCACGGGCACCACTGCCAGATACTCACTGAATTTTTGTTCAGCATCAAACTCCTGTTCCCATACTGACACATCTGGATAAAGCTGACAGTAAATCCTAGGAGAAATGGATAAGGGAGCTGGGAAGGGGCTCGGCCTGGAGAAAAGGAGAATCAGGGGGAAATTCTGGCTCTGCACAACTCCCTGACAGGAGGGGACAGTGGGGGGGATTTGGGATCTGCTCCCAGGGAACAGGGACAGGAGGAGAGGGAACGGCCTCAGGCTGGGCCAGGGGAGGCTCAGGGTGGATACCAGGAGGAATTTCTGCATGGAAAGACATTGGAAGAGGTGCCCCAGAAATGACTGGATGTGGCACTCCAGCTTGGCCTTGCAGATCTTTTCCAACCCAAATGATTCCGAGATTTTCAAGAGAATGCTTTTACATTTTAATTCCAGGCTTTTGAATGGAGCTACTCCCAAGAGAAGTTGAAGTTAGACTAATAATTTAAAGAGTCTTCAAAAGACAGGACGTATTTCCACTGCACTTGAAGAGTGAATCATTTTCTAGGGAAATATTCATGACCAGCAAGGCAGAGTTGCACAGCAGTCACGCAAGAGGTGCTGCTTGGAGGAGGAGATGGATCCCCAGCACATGGAAGAATGAAAACCTTCCCCTGCAAAGCAGGCAGACACTCTCTGGCAGCATCCACATTTCATCCTTATTAGAGGGGACAGACTTTCAAACGAGAGTCTTGGGCAACGATTGAGGTTGACAAAGTTAAAACCCAGTGAGGTTCATAGAGGCAGACAGGAAATCAGCAGCTGCACAAACGGGGCTGTTTTTACAGCACCACGGATTTTGGGATGTCAGGAACAATTTGAAAAAAAAAAAAAGAAACAACGAGCAATGACTCTGGGAAGTTGGAGCAGTGACTCATGGCTTGCCACAGTGCCAGTGTCAAGGACCAGGCAAGGACCTTCCCAAAGGGCTCTGCAAGGCTGGGCTGTGCACCAAGGGCTGCACTCACCTGCCAAGGAAAGTTCCAGAAGCCCAGAGCCCTCTGGTTTGTCAGTGCCCCAGACAGGAACGTGGGAGAGACCGTGTTACACACCAGGGTCTGTGACAGGAGCCTGGGAACACCCAGAGAAGGCTGAGATGAAGGACTGGGACACGAGCGATGTGTGCAAAGATTCCAACGCCTTTCTCAAGTGTCAAAACAGAACAAAGCAAAATTCTT